TAATTAATAATCCATTTTTTTTTCATTTCTTAAAAATATAACATAAAATTTAATTATCTAATAACTTCGTGCCTATGTTTTTTTTCCGTTCATTATTTATAGTTTGAAATAAAAATTTATAATTTACTTTTTTGAAAATTACTACAATGCTAAAAATATTTGCAGTGGGAATCAATTTGGAAAACGACCATATCTGCTTGGATCGCGATGTTCTAATTGTCAATGCGGTGGAGAATGCACTTCAGAAGGCCTTTGTCGTAAGCTTTTTAAAAGAAAAAAAAAAAATCTTTTCAATTATTCTGAAAATTTTGATTTCTTACCCAATTTGTAATTTACATTTATTCATTTATGTTCGTTTGACACTTTTGCTGCTACTCATAAAAGTGATCGAAGTAATTTTCTGCTCATTTTATCATTAATGCTTTTATCCGATTTGTGAATTACAAATATTAAATTAAATTGCAGCTCCATGTTGCACCGGAATACGTTATCCGCAACAAGGAAATTTCATGCATTTACCACCCCCCCGAGCGCAAGCGTCGCGTAAATTATGGCAAAATAAAATTGGTGTGCAACAGAAGCAAAAAAATTACCAACGAAAGGGAATTGGCAAATTATACAATTATGGTGTTTTTTTTTTCCTTTCTAAATTTAGATATTTATTTTAGAGTTAAATTTGAAATCGTTCTTGGCAAAATTTGAAAAAAAAAATTAAAAGAAATTCTCTTATCTTCATCTATTATCAAACATTTATGCAGATTTGCTCATTCCATTATAAACTTGAAAACATTGAGAATTAAGACAATTGAAATTGAATGACGCAAATGAATTTTAGAATTAATACTTAGAAGTTAATACAGATAGGATTTGTATTTTTGTTCAAATGCATTGTAACATGAAATTTTAGAATGTCGAGATTTGGAGCCATACTGTGAGAATTGGGCTCAAAATGTTGGATGTTACAGTAAACATCGAAATTTCATGATGAAACGTTGTCCTAAAACTTGCAACACCTGTCATCCATTTATTTCTGCTGTTAATCAAGGTAAACATGCTATTATCTACAATTATTTGATCTAATCAAAATTTTTATAAAAACAAATATCAAAATTTAAATGCTTCAATTAATCGATAATTGATATTGTTCATTATCATTAATTTTACGAAAAAAAAACAAAAATATAATATAATTTTATTTTAGTTTCTAAAATTATTACTTTATTTTAATTTCTTTCAAGAAAAAAAAGCATTTGAGAGCAAGAAATGAAGCTGATATGCACGCTATCAGCTGAATTAAAAATTAATATTTCAGTGCGCAGTTGTACTGATAATAATCCAAATTGTGATTCATGGGCTCGATACGGTCAATGCCACGGTTCTCGAGAAGCGTATATGGCGGAGAACTGTCGACTTTCGTGTGCTCTTTGTTCTCCATCCAGTCGTCATAAATACAAATATCAAAGCAATAATTTAAACGATACATTTATTTAAATTTTAACGAAATAAAAATTTAGTCGATATGTATTTTTAAACATTTTATTAGATTTAAAAAGTATCAGAAAAATTACAAATTGTTGTATTTAATGAAATTACAGTCAGAAAGTTATTCCCAATATTCTAAGCATTCCTCGTTTTTCATTTTTTTTTCCCCTTCCAGCATTAAAATTTCGATACCATTCTTTGTTTTTTTTTTCAGGATATCGAAGAAATTTAAATTCTTCATTGCTACCAGCTTCCGCCTTATTACCATCAATTTTTCATAATTTTGGATTAATATACATGCGATAAATGTATAAATGAAGCATTTTATTCATTCGTTAGCCTATAAAGAATGTATTTGAAATGAAGAAAAGTTTAAGCTCGAGCAAAAGTTCATAATGTTAAATACTTTTTAATAAAATATATTTCATTTTTATAAATAAAAAAAGAAGAAAGAAAAAACATTTCTAAAATTCAGGCTTTTAATTGAGCTTATGGAAGTATTTTCCGTAAACTCCCTCCTTGATATACCTTTCTTACTCTCCCGATCATTCAATTCAAAAATTTAATTCATTGTACACTAAAAGATTAATTCTGCTTGTATATTTTGCTGAAAATGCAAATGTTGTTTTTTTTTGTGATTTTGTTTTCCTCATTGTAACTCATTAACCATGAAATTAATTAGCAATAATTCGGTCTCATATTGAAGTATCCTCTTCACAGTACACTTATTTCACATTCTCTTTGTATTATGCAAATTTCTATCATAACTTATATACTATGATTTTTTCAGGATTTGTTCATTAGCTAATAATTTTTGGTATTTTGTTTGCTTGTTTGTTATATTCCTATACTTTATAAAATTTCAAGTTTTTTTTTTCCTTGGAAGTTCTATCAATTTTTGTTCATCTAATTAGATTGTGCAATTTGCAAATTTTGTTCTGTTATTTACTACTTGAGTTTTATTCGTAAAAATTGAATTAAAATTAATTAATTTGGACATAAATTTATTAAATATTTAATAGTCACTTAAATATAAAGGTTAAATTTAATTTTACAAATGTATTACATGCTATTGTTTAGTTTTTGCTGTAATCATTGCAATATTTCTTCATTAAATTTTTATTTTCTTTTATATATACGTGTTTTTTGAAGAAAAAATTTGTTGAAAAAAAATGTTTTTGAATTGAAATAACTTGCAAAACTTATTGCTTTAGCAATATCTATTTTTTTTAAAAAAAAATTTTTTTTTTATTGCTAAAACAATAAGTTTTGCAAGTTATTTCAATTCAAAAACATGAAATTGCACTTCATTTTAACTAATAGCATCGTTTTTTAAAGATTGAAGAAATAGAAAAATCCAGAATAGTCTGATTATAAAACCCGTTATTAGCTAAATCGAATCATAGAAATTTTAATTAAATCTTAAAAAAAATTCCTTCGCTCTATTTTGAATATAAGTTAAAGCTTTTATAATTAATGAAATCAAATTGTTGGAATTTAATGTCTTTTTAACAACTTCCACTAAAAATTAATTGCTTATTTGATGTAAAAGAGAAGTAATTTATTTTAAATAAAACTCCTAAAAAATTCTAAGGTTATCGCATTTTTTTTAAACGATACAATCAAATATTTTTCTATTAAATTAAAATCAAAGTTATTTTGGATTTAATTTAATAAATGGCAAAAAAAAGCAAAAAAAAAACTTCTAAATTTACATTTGAGCATTTTTGCTCATTTAAAGAGCTTTAACATTTTCTCTCATTTCTTCAACTTCCAATCCATTATTCATTTCCTGCTTATTCATCTAATACAAATTTGAATAAATGAATTTATTTTTACATTTTAGAATTTCGCACATATGTTAAATGCTTTGTCATTTCATTTCTCCAAGCTAAATAATATCAGTCCGGTGAAAAAGAAAGCAATAATTGTTTGTGCACAATAATTGTTTTATATCCAAATAAATTTAAATATAGCAAATATTTATTTCACTCACAAAAATGTTCTATTTAAAAAAAAAAAAATTAGATCAATCAGTTTTGAAATTTCTCTGGATTTTTCAATTTTTTCGATCATTTAAAAAAAGCAGTGCTACAAATTAAAATAAAGTGCGATTACAAATTTCTTTTCGTAATGAAATAATTTGCAAAACTGGTTGTTTTAGGCAATATTTATTTCCCTTATAAAAGCGTTTGTTTCAAAAAAGAACACACACACACACACATACACACACACACACACACA